TCATTTCTGATCGTGCAGGGATCACTCAAACATGTCCTTCACACATGCAGGAAGTAATTTGCATCTGTTTAACATGTTAATGAAGGCGTCAGGGGACGTGTCTTATCTGCGCTCAGTTCCACATTAATTGTGATGTACAAAAGCAATGTGCGTGGATTCAGGCGTACGCACAGTTTGATACATCTGGATTATTTTGTGCGTACGCAGTTTTCTGGATTTGACCGTAAGTCAGGTTTCAGTAAGAAATCCACTCAAGTCTTTGTACATGAGGCCCCTGGTTTCAGTGCTCTAGGGTAACTATATAACGAATGAAATAATAAGTTGTGTTGGTGCTTTGTATTCACCACGCCTCCACCAAACGAGCGGTCCCAGTTTCCTATGAGTGTGTTGGCCACCATCAGGGGGATGGTGTCAGGGTGAGACCACCCAACCGCTTCCACAGCAAGAGCAATATGAGCGAGGGGCATTTTGTCGTCTCGTACACGGATCTGAAACAGAAGCAGACAGGCACATCACAGAGGTAAAGTGGATGTTATTTTTTACTTTAAGAAATATTAAACATTCATCTTTTCCCTTCCGCGCTCATCTTTCAGCTTGAACGTCACCAGTTATCTCTGGGTGGTAACATTAGGTGAAGACTGGATCCTACCTCACTTCCTGTGAAGTGACAGGGAGGAAGAACTGGGGCTCCACCTTCATTTCTGCTAGGAAGTTTTCCAAAGTGATACTTGGCCAGACTGATGAGTTCATCATGACAAACTCCTGATCAGAAACACATGGCAGACAGTCATCAGCAGAGGAACATTTTCTAAATGCTGCAGTTTCATGAGCAACATGCCACTGTCATCTTATGAAAACACAAACCACTGCAAGCTCAGGGATTCCCCCAGAAAACTGGCTAAGGTTGGCAGGGGTGGGATTGCGATATAAGTGATATACTGTAACATTTGAAATGACGGGAGGTGGGTTGAGAGAAGCGAAACGGTACAGTAGCATTTCTTTTGTGTGGTGTGGCTGTAATTACACACTGGGGAAACCCCTGCAAGCTGTATAGATGAAAATATCTGCGACAATAAGACTTGACAGTTTTGTTACATTTGACTTGATTCTGGTTGAACACATGAAGTGGGGAAAAAAAGAGTCAGACCTCCAGCAGCAGCCAGAACTATCCTGGGTCCTTTGTAGTGAGTGGTGATGTACTCCACCAGGTCTCCTCTGTTGATTGTCCTGCATCACGAACACACAGCAGACTCAGACTCGACACCTGAACTTCACACATCTAAAAACATTAGAAACCATCCGGGCCCTACTTTATGTTCTCAGTGGGGCCCAGGATGGTCCTGCCCAGCGCTGTGGACTGGTACGCTGTGGCATGCAGGTAATCAAAGACCACTTCCTGCAGATTGGTCTCCACTTCTTGCATCTCTCTGAGGATCACCCCTCGCTCACGCTCAATCTCCGCCTCGCCGAGCGTGCTGTTCTGGATGATGTCAGCCAGAATTTCAACAGCTTGGACACAAGAAAACAGACTTTTTTTTAATGAAGACGCTTCTACTGCCATCAGTATATCAGCAACAGAATATCATCAGTAAAAAGAGCATGATGATGAGCTGAAATATCTAAAAAATGTTAGAACTCTTCAATCAAGTGTGTCTTCAGGCCTCCATTCTCACATCTTGTGTGATGAAAATACATATTGTCTGTCTGATTTCTCCTGCTGATCTTGTACATTGTCCCCCATCAGAACTCTGTCCTACAGACCTATACTGTTTCTATTTTCCTGTTAGTCAGAGAACTTTGTGGGCGTGTTTGTTTTTGTGAAACAGCATATGTTTCTGTGTGTCATTTTTGCTGAAAATTGTCTTTAGCAAGGGCTGCTTTGAGGAGCAGCTTGTGTGGTCATAATGAGTACATGAAGGTGCTATGTCTTCTTTTTTTCCCCACGGTAAACAAGAAAAAATATTTTTTTTCCTCTAACTCCTTAACATGAGCCGCTCTTCAAACATCTGATACATGATGGAGTGAAAAAGACAATCTATCCTGCTCTCACTGTTGTTGTTTGCTACATTAGAAGTGCTGTGGGAAAAATTATGATCATTTCTCCACATCAGTGTTTTCCAAACTGGGGGCCACCAGGGGGCGCTAGGGAGCCTCAGAAAGCTAAAAGGAAAAAAGAAAAAGATGCAAAAAAAACCCCAAACTAATAAATGTTTTAAATCATTATCATAAAAATATGACGGAGTGTTAAAGCCACACAACAAGATTTTTTTTGCTCGTTTTTTTAATTACGAGAATAAAGTCGTAAAATTACGAGATTAAAGTCATAAAATTACGAGATTAAAGTCATAATATTATGAGATTAAAGTTGTAATATTCTAGCCTTTACATGAAAAAGCATGCAGTTAGCTCTGCATTAAAATGAGAAATGTTGAGCAACTTGTCAAGTTGTTATTTATTATTGCTTAAAATAAACAGTTAATCTTTAACACATTAGCATCAAATTGTCAGTAGCAGGACTTGGAAATTGTGCAAACAACTATAAACTGGATCTGTATTGTAATTAATAGATGCAATGACAGATTTAGTCGTCACGTAGCTAATTTGGATGAAAGCATATTAGTCTAACGGTGACCCAAGTCATCACGGACTACTTTATAAACACAGACACGTGGCTGTACACAGCAGGTGTGAGGAAAATAAGAAGGAATGAGGAACGTGAAAGACATGTCATGATTATGAATTTTTTCCCTCGTAATATTACGACTTTAATCTCATAATATTATAACTTTAATCTCGTAAAATTAAGACTTTATTCTAGTAAAATTATGACTTTAATCTCGTAATAATAATTTTAAAAAAATCTCGTGTGGCCCTAATACTCCGTCGTATAAAAATTATTAATTTTTTCAATGATTTTAAATTATAATTTATGATAAAATATTTATTTATTTTTTGTTCTGTTCTTATCATCAACACTTTGTTGAAAAGTTGTTTTTTTCAGTGGGAATATAATAGACCAGTGTTTCCCAAAGTTGGGGTCGGGACCCAAAGTGGGGTCCCGAAACATCAAGGTGGGGTCCTGAAAAGATTTTCTGAATTAATTACATTTTTGCCTTAGTTGTTACAAAGGAGTGAGGTTAGTAAATTTGAAATGGATAAATGTAGTATAAAAATATTGTTACTATGCCCATATTTTGTTGACCTAATACAAATATTTATCATCCAAAAATAGTTGCGGTCACAGGTCTCTGCTGTTATTTTGTGGGTCAAAAGCTGAAAAGTTTGGGAACCACTGCACTTTGGTTCCCAAAGCTGGGCTGGGGACCCAATTATGGGTCATGAAGCACCTTGGATAATCTCCAGAAATCAATTTAAAGGGTAGTAAAATAATTGCTGATGTAATATTTTCCCTATATTACAAAAACACAAAATAGCTATAATTAAGTATTTATATGTGTGTACAAGCTGTTTATACTGTTGAAAAACCTGTGTTTTTAGGGTTATTAATGAAGTTTGTGTACTCAGACCAGTAATATTCAGGGTCACAAGTTTTTGCCGTGGATATTTTGTGGGTCAGAAGATAAAAAGTTTGGGAACCACTGTAATAGAGTGTTTAAAACATGTTGAGTATTAAAATCCTTATGCTAAACAAATTTAATAATTATTGAATAGTGAAATGGAGAAACTCATTCAAAAAGGTTGATCCTTTTTTTTTTTTACATATTCTGTAAAGTAATATTTTTACATCCTGTCCCTGTCCCACTGTCTTGCCAAGACGTTTCCTCTTCAGCTCTGCTCATGTTTGTGAGAACAGTCACTGCACACAGAAAAGGCTAGTTTGACTCTGTCAGCGTGTACCTCGTGGAAGATCCTTTGAGAAAGCTTTGGCATAGTAGACCGTCTGCTCCCGAGACGTGTAGGCATTAAGATGAGCACCCATGTTTTCTATCTCTAACTCTAGGTCCAGCTGAGACCGTTTTCTGGTGCCCTGTAGCACAAACACACACAAATGAACACAGCTTGAAGTATCTTTGAAACATTCTTGGCCCTTTTCTTTATAAATCCACAAAACAAGGATGAAAACATGGTAGATGTAGCCTTCTGACCTTAAACGCCATATGCTCCAGAAAGTGTGCCGTTCCATTATTTCTCTCATTTTCGTATCGACTGCCAGCATCTATCCACAATCCCACCTGCAAAAACATCAAGAGTCTCTATTTCCACAATCTAAGCAGGGCTGAGCAGGAAGCAACAGTTTTAAACACCCTTGAATAAACACCTCAGTTTTTTTCTTTTATTTCAAAATAATCCACACTGAAGTTTCCTGGTTTCTGCCAGATTTTAACCCACTTTAATTTTTGAAAACTCATCAGATATTTTATATTTTGTACGTTTACAGTTGTCTGTTTTTATATGTAAATTGCAAACAGTAAAAAAAACATGACTCCAAAAGAAAAGGGATAAYAGTACAAACTCAAAAGTAGTTGCCCACCATCATAAAAGATGTGCGCACAAATAACTGCCTGTTTGCCTGTCAGCAAAATATCTCACTAACAAAAACATTCAGTGAATTTTTACTGAGACTGAGCTGAAATCAGCTACAGCAGTGGCTCTTCAACACACACTATACACAGTAACTGTAGGCGTCCACCCTATCTGTTAGCAAAATATCTCATGCGCCATTAGAAGAAATTTTAATTAAACTTTTTAGAAAGTAATTATTGAGTGTCCATCTAGAACTAACTTATTTTGAGTCAATGCGATCCAAGATGACGCCACGGGTAAATGATTTTAGGAAAAGCTGAATGGAGTTCAGTTATGGGTGACGCGGCTGAGTTCTCCATCCTCATGAATCATTATCAGCATCTGACCTGCCTTTAAAGGGGAGCTATTATGCAAAATTCATTTTTTTACTCAACTTTGGGTATGTACTTCTTAAAAAAACAGTCCTAGGACAAAAAAAAAATGCACCCAGGGGCATATTTACTGTAAGTAAATGTATTTTTAATGTACATTAACGACAAGTTTTATACTTGCGTCATTTTGTGGTGTCACAAGCCGTACGACAACCCACTGGAACCTGCGTTCAGCCCCTTACCTAGCAAGCCCCGGGTGAGACTCCACCTCCTCTGTATAAAAAGCTGTCACGATTGTTGTTGTGCAATGCGCAGCTCATTTCACAACAAGCCTCCAATAGGGCAATGGGTAGTGTTGGACCAGAGAGCGGGAGACCAGGGTTTGAGACCGGCATGGACACAAGTTAATTATTTATTTATTTTCGTTCGTTATGAACACTTTTTCTCATGTACCTCTATTGTTTAGCTTATTAAAGCCTTGTTAAAGCCTATTTGTTCGAGTTTCTGAGGTATTTTGACCACTGCTGCTCCCTGCTCTGGTAACAGCATGCAGAGTGAGCGCAGAGCAGAGGAGGGAAAAAAATAAGAAAAGAAGCTGCGACCACGACTCTGCCTCTGGGTCTCATATGGTTGTATAACGGAGCTTCTGCTATTATTAGCCGTGCTAACGTAAACGTTGGCTTCGGAGGGCGGAGTTAATGTCAACAGATTTTTGGAGGGCGTTACCAACAGAGCTCATTAACATAAACAGCTCTTCTGAATGGAAGTCAGAGCAGGCAGAACTAGAAAATGGGAAATTTTATTATCTGAGAATTATTTTGTGCATTAAATTGAATGAACATGGTCTGGATAGCCCACAGACATACCATAAAAATTTCTAGGACCCATAATTGGTCTCCTTTAACTGTTGCATGGTTTTTCTTCTTCTTACTGTCGATTTTTATATATTTGATCAGTAAGTTTGGGCTGTGTCAGGACGTGCTTTTATTCAGCGGAGGTTGAGGATAGCTGAGGGCAGATGGAGGTATTTTACTGCAGCTATACAGGAAAGATTTGTGGGGCGAATTATATATCATAACTCTGGTTTCGTGTGAACTATCAGCACAATTTAAACACTGGTGAATAGTATAAAATCTGTTTGATAAGGTCTCAGACCGATTGTGTATTTCCTGCTCCAGTGGCTGAAACTCATTGTGTTATGTGAAATTTGCAGGAGTGTCCATCAACTCCAGCGGGTTTATTACCAAATGGTCCTTACGATAAGATTTTTTATATAAACTATTTTATTGTAAATATGAGCATTTAGCAGTTGGTGTTTTGAAGCCGGGAAGGTCCATCCAGGACTGTCTAGAGCTGTGGACGAGCTGCGGTCTTGGAACAGAACCTCCTTATTAACAAGTAACTTCATTACAATCAGTTCTACTTTGTTCTTCATCACTTGCAGATAAACCATCATAAATATCCACTAAATAACTGGAACTTTCTCCACTTAAATTAGATAAAATCCCAGAGCAATCAGTGACTCCGTTGTTGAACAGAAACAGAAGGAATGCATCTCTGAAGAAAAAAATGCACTGGTTAGTTTTAGTTTTTACACTGACTGACACTAATTTAGATCAAATAAATATCATTTTAGCAGGCTATTTTTTAAAGTAAACAGTCATCGTCCTCACTCTGYAGTCCTCCTTCAGCGACTTCTCTAACATCATCTGCCTTGGGCATTTTCAGCTGTAGTGATTTATACACCTTCTTACAATAAAAATCATAAGGAAATTCACGGGTTCTTATTTTTGTGTAATATCTTCTTTATACAAAAATGAATGGACAAAACACACAATAAGATGAGCGTACTCAGCGAGTTTAATTTGATCCAAAATAAACAAGATCATTTATTTATTTACAGAATCAAATAAATCACTAATGTACATCTTATTGTGAGATTAATTTCCTATAAAAAAGTTTAACAACAAACTTTGAGGTTCAGATGTTAATAAACCATTGTTTGCGGCACTTTTTAAGTTTTGGCAGGGCATAAGTTGAAGGTAAGAAAAGAGGGGAATGAGGGTGTTAGTCCTAAATTTGAGCTTATCAATATGTTGTGCTTGGATCTTTCTGTGACGGGGTGTGTATATTTATCTTTTCTTGAAACTTGCCTGGCCCAAAAGTGAAATAAAAGAAAAGAAAAGAAAAGAAAAGAAAAGAAAAGAAAAGAAAAACACATTTTGCCATCCTATTCTACTACAGTGATTACTTGTTAAGGGAAATTGGGACTGTTATGATGGGTGTTGCACTTTAATTTGGGCCGAGGATCGTCCCATGTCAGACAGTCCGACTGGATCCTCCAGCTCAGGGCCGGTTAGTTTATTTTTGGTCTATCGCTTGACTTTTTGTTCCATAGCCCTCAGGATTTTTTAACACGTTTAAATGACCATCTTACTGCGTCCAACCTCAGCAGCAATTGCACGCTGCTGCGAAAGGCCTTGCTTATGCAGCTCAACAACAATCGGACCGCGTTCAAAGAGAGAAACGTTTTGCCTTTGCCATCAGGAGGTCATAAMACTGACCTGAAAGAAAATGACACTGAATCCAGATTTTTGCAAAGATTTGTGCTTTTAACTGCTGTGGTCTTTAATTTTTGATCAGCGGATGAACAGCTAATTTCAGCTTAATGTTTGCTTGCAATAAACAGCTGACTCAGTTTTTTTTTTTGTCTCACTCCCATTTCTTCTTTTGCCATTTCAAAGCTCTACTTAGAAACTAGGTATGATCAAACAGTGCAAAATGGGAATTCTTGCCATTTTTCAACTGATCAAGAGTGTAGCAGCTAAGGCTGCAAMAACGAATTGATAAAAATCGATAACTARAAGTGTTGGCAACTAATTTCATTATCGATTTGTTGTGYTGGGCGATTTATGATGGTATTAATTTATGATTAAACTTTTAATTTGCTGACAATGTCTGAGTGAATACACATGCATTACTTGCCTTAACCTAATACTGCAAATAAAACAAGGCATTTATTGAATTATCAGTGTGCATTGCCAATGCAATGCACACTATTGTGATTCGTTTCCCATCCAAGTCATCTCAACTTTGCCAYGCTTCTCCTCCTGCATACTTTGTCCTAGAGCTGCCATTGTAATTTATATCTGTGCCAAATGATGGCTATGCCTTTTGGTGCCTGTAAAACTTATAGGTTTTGAAAAATTAATGTTCAATAAATTATAATGGCAGTCAATGGAGCCTTGTATTGGTCCAATACTGCCCCCTGCTGCATCTACACAATATTGTACTGCACCATAGTTTTATAATATTTAAACTCAGTAGTTCAGTGATTACAATATTAACATGATTGTATTTTGATGTTTTACTGTAATAATGTCTTTATTTTGTCCTATTGCTGTAATATATTGCACTTAAGTGTCAATAATTGCATTGGCAAGGTACACTCTTTCTGTATACATACAATCCAATCCCTGGGATTGTCCTCTGCCACATCTCCTATAGTCTCATGATGAGCACTGTGGCTTTCATGCGGGAGATCAGGGTTCAAATCCAGCTACTTTAACAAAGATCTCTTCAAACTTCATATTGTCACTCAATTACCTTAATTACAAACACCTGCTGACGTGACAAGCACAAGCTGGTATAGAAAACACATTTGAACTTGGTCACAGCTCATTCTGCAAGTACAATGCTGCAGGCAAAGCCATGCTGCAATGACATGCTACGTGGCAATGCACACTTGTTTTTACATCATAAAAACCCATGTCTAGTCATGGTCACTGACATGAGACTGTCCATGGTCAGAGATAAAGACTTCACTATGATAGTATGATATAATTTTGGTGCAGTTTGCTACGTCAGTCCCAATGTTCAATTTTGGAATGAAGAGATCAAAATTAAAAATGTTTTGTTTTCAGATTCATTGACTAATTGAAAAAAATAATTAAACAATTAATTCATTATTATAATAATTGTTATTTGCAGCTCCAGTAGCTGCTGAGTCAGCCCCAAATGAACCTCAGTAACAGATAAACACAATGAATGTGTCTGTGACAGGAACTAACATAACGACAAACAAAACATTATAAAAGATTTGAAGATACAGCATATGAATAATGTACAATTGTACATGATAAAATGATGAATCTCAGCWAAGAAATAATTTATTGTTTTGACATGCTGACTGTTCAGGTCGTTATCCTGTAACTTACTGTGCAGGTTGTGAGTCCAGAATCCTCTGAGGCCACTCGGAGTCCGTTKTCTAAACTGGTCACCTTGGTTTCTGGGACATTTAGCGACACTTGGTGGGCAGCCTGGCTGGACAACAGTCGCTGAAGTGGGAAAAAACACAGGAAGTAATCATCATCCTCAGCCAATCAGCGCTAATTCTTATTTATTTATTTATAATAATAATAATAATAATAATAATTATTATTATTATTATTATTATTATTATTATTATTATTATTATTATTTTGCCTTTATAACACTTTGACGGTATTTTTCTGACCACAACGATTTAAGACAGAATACTGGAGCAAGTCCTGACTTTCAAAATAAAAGACGACGAGTAAGGTTAGAAAGAGAACTTCTGCTTACCCCACTGACATAATTAGTCTTCAACAAACGACGTCTTTGGAAAAGATTTCTACCCACAAATGTGAGGCGATGTAAGGACGACGCCATATTGTTTTTAACTGCGCGTTTGTTTGACGTAAATTCCCCCGGAGATGACGACATGTTCTTTTTACTGAGAAAATAAAAGTCCAAAATCTAGCTCTTTAAAGTGATCTTTAGATTTTATTGATGGATTTGTTTATATTTCATAATTCAGTTCAAAATGTTACTTAAATACATCGTTTGAAAATTATCTGCTTAAATATTCTTCATTTTTAAGCTGGATACTTTTTTATTTCTTAAGTTTATTCAATTGTACATAAAATATATACTATACATACGTTTTAAAGTTTAATAAAAGACGTGTAAATGCATGCAAATAGAAAAATAAGCAATTTGTGTGTATGGATTAGTAACACAGTAACTAATTGTTTTATATTGAGAAAATTCTAAGATTTTGCACCTGACTTATATGCAACTTTTATGCAACACTTTATGTTTGACAATATGTTTATTTAGTGTACAGTTTATCTGTGGAATAAATATCAATAAAACCAGACAGTCTGAAAACAATATGAGGAASACTCGCATATTGAGATATTAGTTGTTGTTTTTTTAATTCTCAGTTTTATGGAGAGAATTTGACAACCAAATTTAAATGAGTAATTTTATGACATACAGTATATTGCATTAACTATCTGTCAGTTTCAAATTTATTCGGATACTATTATACAGACATAAAACATAAATATCTTGGAATGCAAGTTTATTATAAAGTGCTCAAATGATTTATTTCCCAAACATTTAGAAAGTATAGTTCAGAGTAAACTTTTATCAGGGTTTAAACCAAACAGTGGTTCCTCCCTCTTTACAGTTATTTAACAAATAACTATTGATGCCTTGCCCAACAGCATCACCGAAGATGAGAAACTAGAGGTTTAGGGTCTGTGAGGAACTTCATTTTATTTTGAAAGTATCCGACATTTCGCAGGCGGAAGTGSTCGAAGCAGCCAGCGCGAATTAACCCGTTTGTCAAAGTTGATGTGCTTCTGAACATTAAATGAAACTACRCTCGTCTACAGAGCAGAGTCAGCTTCTGTCCGACATTTTACGGTATTTTCATCTACGTTTGTCCTTTTTTCCCCGCCATGTTTACGGTCTAAGTCAAGTGGTTTTGTCAGATGCTAATGGTTAGCGTTAGCTTAGCGAAACTTTAGATGCAGCAAAAAGCAAACAAAGCTTCTGTCTTTTCTGGAACTTACAGAGTAAAATAAGATTGGCCGAGCTAATGGATGGTGACCTGGAAGATGGAGAAATCTCCGAGTCCAGCTTGGACAATGAGATGGGAATTGGCGCAGCGGAACGAGCCCTAGCTCCAGCCCAACACTCGGCGTGCAGCGGGGGGTCCTTGCAGCACCGAGCCACCGCGTACCGGAGCTCGTCCAAGGCGGTGGAGTCCAGCGACAGTGGCTCGGACACTTCAGACGAGGAGGCGGCTGTGTGGCGCCGGAAGCGCCAGAAAGTGTCCAACGTTCCGCCGCCTCCCGCTCGGCTGCTGCCTCCGTCGGTGCCCGCCCCCTCCGGCGGCGCACCTGGGAGCCGCAAGGTGAACAACATCTGGGGCTCCGTGGTCCAGGAGCAGTGCCAGGATGCAGTGACCGCAGAGCTGGGCATATTCGGCATGGAGGGGGTCGACATGTCCAGCAGGAGCGTGGAGACCTATAACTTCGTCCTGGCCCGGAAGATGATGGAGAAAGAGAGGGAGCTAGAGAAGCAGTCCAAGCAGGAGCAGGAAGTAAGCTCGCTGGACACYGAACTGGAGGACTACATGAAGGGTCAGGGGTCAGAGGACCGGTCAGGGGGGAGTTACAAGAGAAAACGGCCAGCCAAAGAGAGACTAGGCCCTCGAGCTGAGATGGACGTGAAGGGTCGGTACGAAATCACAGAAGACGACCCTGACGAGAAGGTGACCGATGAGATCGCCTACAGACTGCAGGAGCCTAAAAAAGAGCTGATTGAGCGCGTTATCAAAGTTGTAGGGAAGAAAACGGCCATCGAGCTTCTGGGAGAGACCGCCACCCTCGAGGAGAACGGCGGCATGTACACCATGGACGGCAGCAGGCGGCGGACTCCGGGCGGAGTCTTCCTCAGCCTGCTGAAGAACGCCCCCGGCATCTCCAAGACCCAGATCAAGAAGATCTTCTTCGAGGAGCAGCAGAAGGACTACAAAAGCAAGAAGGCCGCGCAGAAGAGGAGGCGGCACGTGCTGGCGAAGAAGATGAAGCAGGCCATCGGCACACTGAACCTGCAGGAGCACGACGACGTCTCCAGGGAGACGTTCGCCAGTGACACRAACGAGGCCTTGGAGTCGCTGGAGGAGCCTGCAGAGGGGGAAGAGGAGGAGGCAGAGGAATGTGCTGTGGGCACAGAAGACACAGCAGTTGTCTATAACTCCGCAGACCTGGAGGTCTTCTGAAAGTCACCTTCTGATAAGAGATGAAAATGGCACTATAACATTTCTCCTTTTTTTTCTTGTTTTTTTTTCAACCTTTAAAATAAAATCACTGTCAGTGCTAAGAAATGAAATTTATGTGTTCAAGGATTTTGTTGCTTATCTTTACATATTAAATTCCTCATACCTTCTTTGTAGTCCTTTTCAGTTTGTGATGATTTATTGAAACCATTGTGATTGTGTTTTATAAAAACACCAGACAACAGGAGTTAAAGGCTAAAACTTTCCAGTTTGAAATAAAAACAGCTCTTTCAAAGGGAAATGAAACATCTTTTTAAAACAAAATGTCCGAATGTTTTGACAGTCAACTGAAGTCCATTTGTTTTGATTAGAGATTGTGCTCTCTTGGATGACTGAAAATCTTCACCAACATAATATAATTATAACAAGAATCTCACTATTTAAAAAAATCAATGGTTTAAAGGCAATTTTTAAAGCATAAACAAGCTCACTTTCCTGGCATCATGTCAGAATAAATATCTTGAATCATTTGTATAAACTGATTTAATCATAAAAAATAATTTCTGGATTGTTGTACTAAATGTTAAATGGACTGCTTATGTAGCGTCGTTCTGTCCAACCAGGATGCTCAGAACACTTTACAATCTGCCCTCCTTTACCCATTCGCACACATTTTTTTTTAAATTCATTTATTTCATTCTTTAAAACGAGTCCATTAAAAAACTAAGTAAATCAATTAATGAACAAAATGAGTGCAGAAAAAAAATTCCTATTATTTATACTCCTTATCAACTTCAAACAAGTAAAACTTGAACAATCATCATTTTTGAGATAAAAATCCAAAACAATTTGAAAAAATAAAACATWAGGAAAACTAATGGCATACTATCTCAATAAATCAGATTTAGTAATCTTTTTAAATTGTGGAAATTATTGTGTTACATTAATTCAGCACTCCACTAGACCTCTCTCCAAAGTTACAGAGATAATGCTTGAAAGCACATTCATGGGACCCACATCAGAGGGGATTTAGTGTCTTGCTCGGGGACACTTGGACAGGTGATCAAATAGTGGTGAAATTGAACTACTAACTCCTGCGTTAGAGGAACAACTCACCTAACCACTGAGCCACAGCCTCTCTAAGGTAAAAGCCCAAGTAATTCTGGATAGGTGTTGTAGTGTAAACATTTGTCCAATAGATGGCAGGCATGCTATTTCTAAAACGCGTTTCAATAAAGTTCTGTCCCTGGCTTCTTCAAAAAGAATCAAAGAGTTCATAAAGGAATGCATAACGGTCAACTACATTCAAGCCAGAGGTTTTTATTAAGACCACCCAATGATGAGAACTGAGGGAATTAATTGCCAGTCAAACCTTGTAAAAACACAAGATCATAATCCAACATGCTCAGAGAACATGTGAAGAACTAAGGCCTACCACCACACCATGTTTTGACTCAGTGTCAGATTAGATGAGGGCTAGTTGTTTTCAGAGATGTCAAGTAACTAAGTACAAATAGTTTGTTACTTAAGTAGAAAATTTAGGTATTTACACTTCAGTGGCTTATTTTTCAGCCTATTTTTTTTTTGCTTCTACTCCTTACATTTGAATTCAATTACCTGTCCTTTCTACTTCTTACTTTTTAAAAATGCAAAAAGTATTTAATTTCTATTTAACTTTGATTTGTTTTTATTCCATTTTTTCATTGTTCAGAAAAAAATTAGAAATCTATCCAGATACATGGAGCCCTTGGATAGAGAGGATTTGATTGTGGTTGGATGTTCTGACAGCCTATTGGATTGAACTCCCTCCATCACACCTGTATGACACAAATCACATCACATTCCAGCAGGACATGCTGTAGCAGATGGAGCCYAGAATGAAGATGATCGTGGCTGAAACAACTAGTCTATTCAGTTAATTGAAAAATTTTCAACATTAACATTTTAATTGAACATYATACTCATTATTGACTTTAGAAGAAAAATGGGGTGGGGGAGTATACGCCATAGAACCCTGAGGCACAGCTTAAGCGTTTATCCTTAATGGCTTTTTTTAAGTGTTCATTACTTTTACTTTTATACTTTAAGTAGTTTTAAAACCAGTGCTTTTATACTTTTACTTGAGTAAAAAGCTTGTTTCGATACTTCTACTTCCAAAAAAGTATTTTAAAACTACTTGTACTTAAGTAATGAATGTGAATACTTTTGACACCTCTGGTTGTTTTATGTTGGCAGGTGTCCATGCAATCATTCATGAGGTATTTATCTAATATCTCTTAAAAAACAGACAACAGTTTATTGAATTTCAGCAACTATCAGACAAAAAGCATTTCCTAAAGTATACTACGCTAAGTTACTACCACACCAAACGTTAGCTCCATTTCTATAAAACTGACAATATTATAGATGCATTTCAAATGTTAGTTGGCTATGAAGGCCATCATGAAACGGGTTGGCTTAAGAGCAAATTTAAAAAAAAAAACAATCAAAAAAGCTGGTGGACCGCTTTGTGACATGGTGTGGGAACAATCATTTAATTTTGAATGTGAACATAACGAAGGAGATGATTGTAGAATTCAGGAGAAATAGTGTTAGATCAAACCCTGTTTCCATCAGGGGAGAAGAAGTGGAGGTGGTTGAGGAATGTAAATACCTCGGTGTTCATCTGGACAACAGACTGGACTGGAGACTCAACAGTGAAGCAGTCTACAAGAAAGGACAGAGCAGACTGTACTTCTTAAGGAAGCTGAGATCCTTCAATGTCTGCAGCAAGATGCTGCAGATCTTCTACAAGTCTGTTGTTGAGAGCGTCATCTCTTCTGCCATCATCTGTTGGGGCAGCAGCATCAGAGCCAGGGACCTAAAAAGGCTAAACAACCTGATAAAGAAGGATGGTTCTGTTCTGGGGACGACTGTGGAATCTCTGGAGATGATGGTGCAAAGAAGGATTTTTACATAAAATCAAGAACGTTGTGGACAACGCTGACCATCCTCTTCATCAGACTGTCATAGAAATACAGTGTTTTCAGTCGAAGGCTTCTTCAGTTTGGTTGTAATACAGACCACTACAGAAGATCTTTCCTGCCCACAGCCATCACCATCTACAACAACTCTTTAGTTAAATGGGTTACTAAACTGCAAGAAAATTCGTATTCAATAAACTGAAGTCGATATTATAAACACAATTGTTAAATAAAATGATTTGTAGAAGGAATTAAACCATACAACACCAGAACTCTGGATCTGAGTGAGGTTTATTGTCGCTGAAGCAGACAGGAAACCAACACTGGCCGGAAAAATAGGAAGTTCATGTATTTGTACACCTTCTTCAATGCCTGCGTTCACCTCCTACTGACCTACGGCTGAATCACAGGCATTCAGACAAAATCCTCAGTTAATGTCATCCCAACGTTTAATTATGTGTTGTCACAGATATTTTGGACGTGTAACTGAACCTATTTCAATCAAAACATAATAGATTAAACACTGCCAACATTACAAAAAGGAAAACCTAAGAATATAGTGTTGTGCTTTTAACATCAGTACTAACTTCTACTAACTTTAAATTTCTTCAATAACATCTAATTTCTCTCTGGGATCAATAAAGTATTTTTGAATTTGAATTGAATCAAAATCAGTTATTTCCAGGAAGTTCATCTGTTCACTGGTTTATGAGATATCTTGCTAACATTCATATACAGACTTGAATTCTAATAGATAAATGCAAACTTATAAACAAAGTTCTTGATCAATCTGTTAGAACAGGGGTCTTCAAAGTTTACAAAGGTAAGTCCTCTCTCAGAGAGTAAACAAGCCATACATCCCCTCCCCAAAAACAAACAAACAAAAAAAAACCCTATAACTATTTATAAAAAAGCAATGAATATGTTATTGTTATTATATCTGTTCAGTACTCTAGCTAGGCTAATGAAAAGTCCTATCTCTGTTGAACCATGTATCCCCAATTCTAAGTAGTGGTGACTTCATGAGACTCTTTATTGATAAAGATATTATAATTAGAGATAAAATTCACGCCAATTCATTGTTATTGCCTCTGATTCTCTGTGAGATGAGGCAGCTTTAGAAGTGTCACTAGAACATGATTTATGTTGGGACTGGTTTTGTTCTGTTGAGCTCTTTGAATTATCTAAAATAAAGGTTTGATCTGTCTTTCGTCACTCTCCTCTACAAATTAGTTGTAATTATTATTATTTTTCATCTATAACGTGTTTTCTTTGTCTCTCTTCCAGAGGAAAATACACATGGACCAGTCCTGTTTGTCTGTCTCTTTCCTGTTCCCCCAAACCCAGCCGGTCAAGGCAGATGGCCTCCTGAACCTGGTTCTGGTTCTGCTGGAGGTTTCTTCCTGTAAAAAGTAGTTTTTCCTTTTCACTGTTGCTAATATGCTTGCTCAGGATGGGCGACTGTGACAAAGTTATTCAATGCAATCTGCTGGTTTATAGGTATTTTTTTTGTACAGTGCCCTGAGACGTTTGTTGTGACTTGGTGCTGAATAAACTGAATAGAACTGAATGTAGCATGTGTGGTTACTTCCTCAAACAAAGCCCACTGCATGTAATGTCACTTCTTCATAAACGCATAACAGGCCACCTCTGAACTGTTCACAGTTCTAACTGAAGTCACATTTTAAAAATAATGTTGATACACAAAGCATAAAAAACACTAAGAAAAACATTCTTGCCTAAGACCTGCAGTGTGAATGTATACCTTGCATTAAATCCTTACTTCCTGGGTCATCTCATGCCTCCACTTAAGGCCATTGGTGCCCACTTGGGGTGGCATGCCCCACAGATTGAAAACCCTTTTGTGTCAGCACGTGGATTGTATGTTGGGGACCAGTTTCAGCTACTATCACACCAACTGTTAGCTCGCTGTCAGACACATGGATAGACAGGCATACAGACAGGCAGGCAAAGAGAGAGAGAGAGAGACAGGCTGGCAGGCAAAAATACAGACAGATGCAGGCAGACAAAGAGACAGACAGAAAAACAGAAAGGCAGGCAAAAAGACAGACACAGAGACAGGCAGACTAAGAGAGAGAACTACAGATGGAGAGACAAAGGCGGACAAAAAGACAGACACAGAGACAGAAAGACAAGATACATAACAGACAGAAAAAGAGAAAGTAAGGCAGACAAAAATACAAGCA